TTCCGAGCAAGCTTTCCCAAGATCAGGAACGGGTGGAAATATCTCAAAGAGTTTACTCACTGTATTTTTATAGAAAGCAAAGTCACGGTGTTCAATCTGTATGCGCTGGAAAACAAAGGTGTTGTTTAGGTCAGCTTTGAAGTAACACCTGAACTGAAACATGCAACCCCTTATTTATTAGTAATGGGTTTTTTTTTTTTCAGCATACCTTCCACCAGTTAAAATCATCCTCTGACAGCTTTGTCTTTGCAGACAGAAACGGTTTGATTGACCGGTTGAGACGACGGACAAACAGCACGTTAGCGTTTTTATCAGAAAAACAAGCAGTCGGGGCAAAACTCTGTAGCCATCCATTGCAATCCGAAAATGCACTTAAAACAATCAATCCAACACCGATTAGGGAAAGCAGGAAAATGGCAGGCTTTAGCTTTAGACTCATCCTGGATATGAGAATAAAAAGCAGTTTTCAGTTTATACCTGCATTAGACAAAAGAAATTGTATTGTCAACAATAAACCCCTTATGGGCAAGTGAAGAGTATAATATGAGTAAAAGTGAAATAACAGCTTAAACACTAATGGAAAAAATAAAAAAATTAAACAACAAAACTAAAGTCTTTCTAAAGAATACAGTACAAAGAACCATGATAATATTGTGAAACAAATTCCTTCATGCATTCAAATCAAATTATAACCTAATAATTTAATTCATGTCTTACCTTGTAATAAGCACCTTCCTTAAATAATAAGATTACTTACCTTAGGGAAGCAGAGGATCCTCTTTTACACGAAGAGGGTTGATTTCATGCACTGGACAGAATATTTACTTTCCTAACAGAACAGGATTAGAGAAGTATCACAGGTATGTGTGTGGATGTTTTTTTTTTTTTTTTTAGGACTGCCCACAAACAGAAACTCGAGGATGTAGTACACCAACAAATGCTATGTTGGTTAAAAGAAGCAACCGGCTCAATGATTAAAGCTCTGATAAGCTTATAATGTGTTATAAACTAAAAGGAATCACCAAAAGACAGTTTTAGCTTCAGCGCCCAAGGGTTCAACATACTGTAGTGTTTGAGTACTAAAATAGAAAAGATGTAGGAGATGAATGAATTTAAAACTCTAATTTCTTTGACAGGATCAGTGGAAAAAGTAGCAAGCAGCAAAAAGAAATAACATTTAAGAAAAACTGTAAATAAATGCAAACAACTAAAAAGAAAAGTACTCCGGACCACTAGGGGGAGATGATGATCGACCGAGGCTAAATCATGACCAAAACACGCATATTGCTATGAAATTCTTATTGTGTGTTCACATGACTTCTGGTTATCAGAGCATCTGACTTACATGCAAAGTCTATCAAGAAGTTTTTAAAAATTCTGCGTCACATCCAGAGCGGCGCATCTTGATCACCGAGTGCCAGGATGTTGGCGCATATGAGCGTAGAGTTAAAAAAATCGGAACTTTTGCAGAGTGACGCAGAGCATTAACCGATCAGAAAAGCTAATCTAGGAATTTTCCCACTGAATGCAAGTTGTGAAAACTACAGATCTGGCAGAATATTATGAACAATGAATAAATATGAAGGGGTTTAACTCCAGGAGGATGGATTTATTTTATGTGCAAGGAAAAGAGAGCAAGCTCTGTTCATTATTACTCCACTAAAATATTTTCTAACCTAACTGTGACAAATCAGTTTATAAACACCTACATTGAAATAAAATGTTGAAACCTGCCTGCGATTTTAATTTATATTCCGGTACTTTCAATTTTCATCCAAAATCTCAAATAACGCTTTGTATACACTTCCCGCCCCCTGAACGGAAAATCCCCTCCAGTCTGGCAGGAGGCTCATTTGAGATGTTTTTTTTTATCCAAAAATGCCGTCTACCTGGCGCTGTGTGTTTCCTGGACGGGGCCGCCTTTTACAGCTGCTTCTTGTATCTCTGCTTCTGTCTCCTTGAACCCCAGTCGGCCTCAGCAGACGGCCGCTCACACTGAGCCTGGTTCTACTGGATCTTCCTGTTAAAAGGGAGTTTTTCCCTCTCCACTGTCACTACAAGCATGCTTACTGTAAGGGATTATCTTCGAGTCAATGCAATCAACTAGTTTTCCTTAGATAGAAAACTGAATCAATTTGACTGTATGATGTGATGAACTGTAAAGTGCCTTGAGATGACATGTGTTGTGAATTGGTGCTATAGAAATAAACTGAAGTGAATAGAATGGATAAGGACACTATATTAAAATAATTACACTCCACCAAACTCAGGAGAGGTAGCCTACCTTTTTTTTTTTTTTAAAGAAAATGAAAGCATTATACTTGAAGGTGTTGATTCTCATCCTGGACACTGAACTCAGCTACAAATCTCACCAGTGCATATTGAAAACACATTTCAAGTTATTTGATAAGGACAAACCTCATAAACCAGACCTTTTGTCATATCTTAAATATTAGTTTAATATTAGTAATAAGGAGCAGCCCAGGTATAGTGTATGGCACCCACTGAAAAAAGGCTCAGCTTTGTGACCCTGAGCTTCCACAAACTGAATGGGAACTGAATAAACCTTGAAATCCAATATCCTGTTGGTGTATTAATCCCTCAATGTGGTTCAAGGAAATCCAAAACCCCACTTCCACACCTCATTCAGCATATTTACAGGGCTTAGAGAAGCCACATTGCTCCTCATTGGTTTGTGGTTTTACAATCGCTCCCAGTAAACTTTCCAGAAATGTTCCCACCTTGATGTTGTTGGGGTTCAAAATGGTAGAATTCTCTTATGACAAAAAATCAAGACGCTGGAGACGATTGAGATGGGGGGGAAACATTTTATTAACAGGTCGAATTCCAAAATATGCCGTACAAAAACTTACAGCGCTTACAATAGTTCCAAATAATTTTCCCCAAAGCTGCCAGGCCCCTATCAGTGTATTTATAGCCTTTTGTTACATGTTGTGTGTTTGTTTTGCGACTGGCCTTCAAAATGTGTGTAAATCTCTGTCACCTGCTCTGAACCTGTTACCTAAAAGGAAAAAGATGTTATTGCCAAGCTTTTCTGATGCATAAACTGCTTGATTATTTTCTGTGTGTAAGGGTTTCCTGTTCAAACATTCTATCCCCTGTATTTTCTGCATATAAAAGCCTTTCTCTGAACCAACATGTTTACATGGTATGAAATGGCCTCAAATAATATAGCTCCTATAATGTGTTTGCTACTTTTTATTGATTTCTTGCATTTGGGCAAAAGACTTATCTATGCAGAAACAATGGCTACATTCACACTGAAGCCTGAGGTGACCAAAATCCTTTTTTTTAGCCATGTGAGACCTTTACCTGATCTTGTCATGACAATCTGAACAACGCAGATCAGATTTTTTCCATTGTGTCCTAGGCCCCTTGGCTGGTCCTGAGATGGATACATGTATGATCATTTTAAATGCGACCTGTGTCTGAACAGCCAAGTCACATTCATCCAACTTGAATATCATCAATACTCATCAATGTATGTATGTTGCTACGCAGAACCAGAAAGAAAAACAACCTAATCAGACGATGTGAGCAGCAGTCTTTATTTTCAACCTTTTTGAACTGTTAATCACACCTTTTGCACTGTTAATGCTGAGGTAGGGAAAGAAATTAAAAACTGCCAGGTCATTTCCAGTACTACCATCGCTTGTGACATCAGTGCATCCTCTACTGCCCATGTGGGACCCAGGAGATCCCTTAAAGTCGCAGATATTTGGAAATGTGAACGACTACGCTAAACATTAAGCATTAAGGCCTGCAGTGGGAGGGCATCCATAATGTCCCTAATAGGCCTAACAAATCAGAATGATTAAACATTAACAATCCAATTCAGAACAGCATTAAAAGTATAAAAAATGCACCAAAAAGAAAAGACAAAATGTAATTTAATATAGGTTTTCCTAAATTTATTTCCTTTGTTTGAAAAATAAAGTGTTCCTCTATCATGAGCGATTTCCATCTCTGAGCTGCATTTAATCTAGATGGTTGTATTATATTGTTCCACATGAAGACATTTGTTGGAACAGTTGTGTTTGTTGTTTTTTTCTGTTGTTTCGCTACACCTTTCATTCAAGTTTCATCACCTTGACAAAGCCTGTTTTTTCACTTCAAGTTCTTCAGTCATTGCCAATTCAAACGTTCTCTATTTTCTCCTTGTATTTATCTTAGATTGCACACTTTCTTTTCTACAGAAGAAAACCCTGCATATATCGTTTACCGACACATCTGCCAACATGGATTTTATTAATGTATGTGTGTATTTCTCATTTAGATGATGATTTACTCTGTTAAGTAGAAGTGCTTCATTGTGCTTTCATTCATGGTTTCAAACTGGTTCCAAAAATGGCCGTGTGGCTGCAGGTTTTCTTTCCAACCAAACAATAGCAACACAGACTCCATTTATCATATTTAGATTGGACTCCCTTGATGAGATGACTGACATCAAGCTAGCAGAATCAGTACGATTTCCGCCCCAAGCTATTGCTTGGTTGGAAAGAAAACCTGCAGCCACACGGCCCTTTCTGGATCCAGTTTGACACCCCTGATCTAGATCATTGAAACCTCTTTTGATTTTCTGAATTGTTTTTTTTTTAAGAACTATATGAACTCATTTGCAAAAATTTTTTCTGGAATTTCAATGTGATAATAACTGAGAGAAATGTTCTTTAATGTTTTAAAATATTCACTCTACTCTTCAACCTAAGGAATCACCGAATGTGATATTTTTTGGATTTCCAAAAGCCATACAAAAACTAATAGAGGAGAATAAAGTATAGAATGATCAAAATGTCAAGTCTATCTACAATTTTCTTCATGTCATCCTATTGCAGATAATAAATTATATTTAAAATGTTTAATTTATTTAAGTTATTTATTTATAGAACTCTTTGTCTCAATCATTCAGTAAAACACATCAGCCCAACAAAAACAAATTGACTTTAATAACAACTGTGAGAAATTGTTTGTTTGCAGATACAAAATGAAAGAAAAACAAAGTAGTTTTGAATAACTCAAATACATGAAATAAAAGGTAAAATACACTAAATATAGCTTTATTATAAGAATAAATATTTGACCTGTAACAGCGTTTTAAAGATTTAAGTAGAAAAAAATTCTGCTACACAAAAAAGACATAAAAAAGAACAGTAAGCAGAATCCCTCACTGTGTAAACACCTATTCAGTTGAATAAATAATCATCTTTCCATAAATGAGGATAATGCAGCGTCTCTCATGTACTGTCTATGTCTACACATTTTCTATGTATATGAAAAGGGTTTGGAAAACCATCTACGTCTGCATGATGATTCACACTAAAAGATAATAGTGACATCTCTTCATTCACCAGGAACATCTAAATACTGGACTTCTTTCTAAACAAACATTTTTATTGAAGCAGGGTTTAGAAAATAAGAAAAAAATTGGAAAATGATCTGTTCAAGAACTTGGTTACCTCTGTGTTTTTTTTTTTTTTTTATGCTATAAAGTGACAAGCATGTAACATTAAACTAGTAGGATGGGCTCATTATCTTTGTGGTGTTAGACAGGTACTCATGAGGAAGTATTCTCAAGGTAACAAATTACAAGTATTAGGTTTTAAACTGCTCTACAGAGCAACCGTTGAGGGAATGAATATCAAGAATTTTCATTGTTACAAAAGGGTAGAGAAAGCTGCTTCAGACGTTTCATAGACAACTTGGTTCCACTTTAAAGAATTGAATTAAGTAGATAAATGCGACAGGTCACAGGACGAACAAAATGTAGCTGTAGATTGAGTATCTGACTATTACTCTGCTATGCTGCTTGTTAGACGCAAAAGCTCACGATTTCTTTAAGAAGACAGTACTTTTAACGGAATAAATGACTCAATATTTTATAATTAAAACAACTTTGATTGTTTGATTAAGAGGATTATCAAGATCAAAATCTTGACAATCGCATTTCCAATAGCAGCTAGGGCGGAGTATGTTCTAGAATTTCAAAGTTCCCAAACCTGTCTGCCCTGAAAAATTTCATTGAAGAATTTAATCAAGCCCATCAGCCATCAACCTCCAGGGCAACGGTGAGGTTTTATGTCACAGAAGGTTCAAACACACCTAGAAACTCATTAAAAAGCTGGATACTGTTTTGTAAAAATGAAGTCAGTTAAGTATCATTGCAACCTCCTTGTCCAGGTGCCCAAAGTTAACCGCCAGTCAAAGATTGTTATAATGCATTTGGCATTTTCTGTCAACCAGCTTTAATCCACCGCCTAGTTTTTGTTCCCATAGTGCGTGACATATATCATGAAGAAATGTGCTACTCTGATTATAATAGTAATAAACAGTAAAGTTCAGCTTATCCTAGCAATTGCCCAGAGGAAAATTTCACTACTCAAAGTTTGTTCTGCTATGGCTCATGAGATATAGTTTAGTTTTTCATTTGGACCTAATTTTAGTATCTATTTTGTCTCAAGATATTCTCATTTTATTCTCTTAATATTCATTAGGAGAAATAGGGTGAGACGTTAACATTACAGTACAGGAGTCATAGTTGAGATTTAAAGGAGATACCTTGCAAAGATTGAATTTACACACTCACACACCAAAACGCATGCTTGCCACTCACACACTATCATGGCCACCATCAGTTCTCTTCACACACAGTTTAAGCCACTTTCCCAGATAAAGTTTAAGTCTCTTGCACACATTGTAATCTGGAGCCGCTATTTGAACCCACAAACCTGAATCTGATGCAGGAGTTTTCCCCATCACTGGTTGCGGGGAAAACTCCCGCATAAGATACCACTATGTCACAAATGCAAGTGATTATATAAGAGAAAGCTGGATATGTTAATCGAGAGGAGCTTCCACCCTTTTGATCAAAATCCTGCATATGTTGACATATCTCTTTGTAGCCAGGAATAACGAGTTATCTTTAAGACCGGCAAAATATTCAAATCTTCTTTTGAGTTATAATCCTTTGTTATGGTCACACTTAATTCTTTTTTCCCTGGGATGTCGTATAAGGTGCCTAATTGATAACTTTATATTTATATATTTAAGTATAATCCAGAGGCTCTAGAAAACATGTTATCTTATCTATAACTTTGGATATCTATTTAAAATGTATAATATATAAGATCTATTTTTCATTGCTATCATCAGCAAGCTCAGTTATTGCATTTAATGGTTCAATACCTTAGCTATTCTTAAGAAATAGAGCCAATAACTCTACAGCTAAAAGAAATAATAAAGGGGCAACCCTGTTGGATTCCCCTTTGCACTTCAACTCTTGATTGTTCCTTCAGACAGAGGGAGACTGAACTATTAATATCCTTATACATTAGTGGTTTTATAAACCTTTTTCCAACATTATAACTTCTAAGAATTCACACAGGCATTGAAAGTAAACATATTAGGATGATAAATGTGTAGAAAAAAAGAATTCTAAATAACGAAGGAAATTCTATTTAACTATTTCTAGTGTTTAGTTTTATTTTATTTTAGTAAAAAAATAAATAATAACCTATTTTAATAGCTTCAGGAGATGCAGATTATAACCGCTTAAATTAGTAAAACGAGATTACTACTTAATGACATTCACAGGCAATTATTATGTAAACCAACAAGGAGGAACCTGCGTTGATCACCATTGTAGTATCCACAGAACTTATGAGTGTTTTATGAGACGATAATCAAAGTATACTTCATATTAACCTGTCTGTGGAAATCTGCACCTGCTCATTACTTTACAGATAATAACTCATAACAAAAGATTTCAACACATCTTACCACACGAGAAACTCTGAATCCCAATAGGTGGTATGTTTTAAATCACTAGAGTTAAGTTAAATGTTGGTTTTAAAGTCAGCTTACATGTATAATAATTTTAATGCACAATAAAGTGTCTTAGTTAGCAACTAAAAAAAAAAATATAGCAAGATATATATATAATTTTTTTTTCTTTGTTCTTTTTCTATTTATTTATTTATATTAGGAAAACTTTGAGGATATGAATATGAAATAGAAAATAAAATGGTCTTGATCAAAATATAATAAAACTTAGCGCAAGTAGCTTTGAGCAAAACAAAAACAAAGGTTTGTAGTAAGTATATGTTCATTTTCTAACCAGTTGATCTGATGCTGGTGTCACTCTAATTTGATAATTATGTTACCAATGTTGCAGAAGTTTCTAAGCCCATTTATCTGCAAAAAAAAATTAAAAAGTACCTTTTTTAGCTTGTTTTAAGCCTTGCAAGGTTTATTTATTATTTCTTTTTTTTTTTATCTTTCTGGATTATTCGTTTGAAGAAAAATAACTGGTTTAGCTTTTTGGATGGATTTCTGGTTAAGGAAAATGTTCCAAGACATTTTTAAAGTCTGATAAAGATCATGATCCTTTATAAAGCTTGACTGTTTTTTCATTTGCCAGCTGTTTTAGGACTCTATACTCATTTGTTCCAGAATGAGGTCCTGTTCCATATTTTTTGTTTTTTAAAACCTCAAAGTAATGGCTCCAGTTCCTGTTACTGTCGGCTCCGAATCCGAACACATCGACCTGGGAACACACAAACGAAAAAAAACATTTGTTAAATTGAAAAAAAAAATATTCTCCAACCTGTGTGTTAATTATAAGGCTGATCATCTACTTTTTTCCAAGAATTTGATTCATGACTAGAGAAAACCGCAAAGGGAAACAAAAAATACATATTTAATTGAAGGTACAAATCACATGTCAGTCAATAACAACTCCTTCTGTCAAAAAAAGTTACAATCAGTAAAATAAATCCAAAATACATCATAATTTTGACCTGTTTTTAACAGGTAATCACAGTCTTGTTAAGGCAGTAGCCGCATGTCTATTACTAGTTTGCACAAAACTCTTGACATCACAGCTGATGAACTCCCCATAACTGATTTCTTTCTCTGCTCATTTACAGTGAAACTTCCTCTCAACACCTTAAAACACCACGCCTCATTTTATTTCGGGATTAAAGGAACAATAAATTTGTTGGCAACCACAACCAACCCAACCCTGGTGATCTGGTTTCTCATTAAAGCAATATCCTTAATACTCTTGCACCGTTTGAAAAAAGATCTCTTTCTTTTCTTTCTCCACCCAAAGCCCAAAGTCAGCAACTTAAACAAATTTACAGTACACCTGGTCTCATTATTCACAAAGAAATGCACAACCACATAATATGTTATAAGGAATCCATTGCCAGGAACAAAACACACTACGTCACCAGTATAAACACTGCCAATAAGGGAAACTCGAAGAACACTTTGTCCCTACTTAACACCACACCCAATCACAGCACTTTCTCCCTCCTCATCTGTACACAACCTCTTTCTGCAACTCCATCATGTCCTTCATTTAAAAAAATCTAAAACATCAGCATCTCAACCAACTCTCACTAATCCACACACCCATTTTCCTTGCTCCAATTCAGGGAACTCACCCAAAAATCCAAGTCATCCACCTGTCAACTTGACCCCCCATACACACAATTTATTAAAGACTGCCTCCTTTCTCTGATCCCCCTAATTTCTGCCATTATTCACTCATCTCGCACCACTGGAACTGTCCCTACATCCTTCAAAATTGCTGCCATTACCCCCATTTTGAAAAAGGTACCGAAAAAACCTGGTACACTCTAACTTCAACAACTGCCCTCTGATCTCTAATCTACCCTTCATCTCCAAAATCTTCTAATAAACAGGAAACTCCCAACTCCTCGCCCATAGTCGCCTATCCCACAATTACCTGTTCCAGTCTGATTTCCGCCCCTTCCACAGCACTGAAACTGCACTGAGAAAATAAATTACCAACGATTTTCTCATGACAGCTGATTCTGGAATTCTCACCATCCTCATCCATTTTGACATGAGAGCCGCCTTTGATACCATCTGTCACTCCACCGCCTCAACAGGCTATCTTCCATTGGCATCTGCACACTTTATTAGACTGGTTTACATCCTACCTCTCGGACCGCACTCAGTTAAAATCCTTCAAATCTATCCCCTCCTCCATCACATCCTCTTCGTCATCTATCTCTTTCACCTTAGCAGTATCTTTCGCAAATGTAACATTCATTTCAAATTTCAGTGTTTTCTTTTAATGGATTTATCTATTTAATTACAATTTGCTCAATTTGATGGTTAATGGAAATCTCATTTCCAACTCATCAAAATTTGATGCTTGGTCAAGTCCTCTGCATGTCAGTTCATGATGCTTTAAACTGTTATACTTCCACTAAAGGGCTGGTTATACTCCTGCAGCGGTGTGTCACAGTGAGCTTGTCGGAGGTATGATGCAGATATTTTTGATTTATGCCCAACATCGAAGCGTGGTCTGCACTACGTTATTCCACGCAACAAAGCAAGAGAGATACGACAGAGTCGGTGAGGAAGTGGGGCCAGTTTATGCGACAACGGAGGGACATGAGGGCGAAAAACAGGGATGCAGGTGGAAAAACGGTCCCAGCGTTCTCGCCCACCTTGCTCTTCTAGCTGGTCTATTTTCACACGTTTTTTTCCGCAATGGCGGTCAAACAAACAACACAAGCCAGTAAAGTACCAAACAGGAATTACACATAGTGTAGAGCGGATGTAGATTTGGCCAATCAAAGGCCTGCGGTGTGCGGTCACCTACACTTTCGGAGATGTGCAGCAGAGTGTCAGCGGACGGGGCGGGGGCATATCTGCGTAACTGCGACACACACACAGACAACCTGATTTCTGGGTATAAACCAGCCTTAACACATGCCTTACCCTAACCTCTAAACCTAAAAACATTAATATACATGTTACCATACAGTACCAACGGCCACTTTATGGCTAGAATTTTATTTGCAGTTCAGTTTTGGGACAAGTTGGGAGTGAGAATGTGTTGGTCTTGCATAGGGCAAGTTCCACCCAATTTCATCACTAAAAAGGATTTTACACCTCTTTTGGTGAAACCGGTGAAAAGACTTTCACTTTACTGTGCTTTTTTTGCCTGATGTTTCACCCACAAGTCATGTGGCAGGCAACAGCAGTTCACAAAGTGCAGAAAAAGCTCAGTTAAATCTGCTGTTTGTCAAGAAAGGGTGTTGACGTATGAAAACCAAGAAAGGAAGTGACATGTGGCATTTTTGATTTAGGTACTTATATTTTCCACAAAGGCATTTCCAAATTTATTTCTTTTTTTATGTATTTCGATGAAGATAATGTTGTCATTATCTGAAGTAATGAATATTTTTTTAAACTGATTAACTTAACACTAACCTTCAACAAAGCAAACAGTAAGAGAAAGAGGTGTGTGGCCTTCCAGTGAAAATAGATAATACACTATCCTCCACCTAGAACTATTTATTTTGGTGGGCAGTTCCAACATTGCACATAGATTTCTACCCACAGAGCTTTGAGCAGTGTTTACCAAACCTGCTGTAAACCCCATTGTTATCTAAAGTTACCCTATTGTTAAAAATAATACCAGTGAATAAATGGGCTACAGCTGAAATAAGGATCAATAAACAGTTTTATGAATTAATCCAGCAACTAAATAAAAACTGAATTTATGCAAAGCAGATAGGTATTAGTTAAAAAGAACAAAATTCAAAAGAACAAACCGAAATACCCAAGTTTCTTTTTAAAGAAAAAAATTTCAGAGGTTGGTTGTTCCCGCTGACAACCAACGCAGCAGCTACTTCAGTTGAACAGGATGTGGTACCACATCCTTTGCTATCTTTAGCAGCCAATGACAGATGCTTTTTCTTTGATTTCCTGATTGCCCTGTTTGCTCTGAAACACATTCCCTGTTATGGATAGACACGTTCTTATATCACACTGCTCCCTCCAGCAGATTTTTGTGGGGCTGAGACCCTTTAGGTCAGAATGCGGTTTTAATTTACAGGCAAACGGGGCATTTTTATGTAGGAGTATTGGTTAAAAATTCCCCTTGTGTCCCCTACAGGCTTATAGAAAACTTTAATTGAAGCTTCTGTTTTTTTTCACTATGAGATTTTAAGAGTGAAAGTTAGTGATCTTACTATACAGGTAAGTGTTGCCCATTCAGAATATCCTAAACTAATTTTCTACAGCATTGTCTGCTACAACAAAATGAGGCCATTGGCTCTCCTGCAGGAAAGTCACTACGACACAGTAGACTTCGCAGTTGAAGTCCAGGACTTAACTCATCGAAAGGCGTTGGTGAGACATTGAATGGAGCTAATTAACCCTATTATTTCCAAACCCTAATGTTGAATACCAATGCAGTAAAAAATAATGGGCGAACAACCAAATGAGAAAGCAAAAAGAAAATTACAGCTTAAAGTTGTAGGAAAATCACATTTAAATGTCAGATCTGGCTTAAACATGAATATAAATGTACTCTTTATCAGACAAAATCATGTAGCAGAAAATTTCTGAAAAAAAATCCTGCCTTAAAATCTGTGGGGGTTTTTCTCGTTATCTTATGCAGGCCAGTTAGTTATATGTCAGCTTGTACATCTAAATTCGGCCAATCATATATCAACGGTCATATGTCAATCAAAATTTTTCAGTCATAGCATCTTGATTCATATGTCTCAGCTAATATACGCAACGCTTGAAATAAGAAATAAAAATGATTTCCTTTCCCATTGAGTTCTGTCCCAGTGTTGACGGGGATGGACGTCTGTGTCTTCAGCAGGCGTTTAGCTAACAGAACTGGCAGCGTTGCGAGGCAAGGGCTCAAAGACGTACGGCTGTAAGCCTTCTACACCAAACCAAGCTTCTGCCGCCCTGGCGTCCTCTTCCACAACATCTTCGTCCTCGCTTTCTTCCTCTAAATAATAAATGTATGACGAAGGAGACCCATCCACGATCTCCAACACAATACTCTCCTCCTCTTGCATGTTTCCTCTGTCCATAGCGTTCCTTGACAGTGTGGTTGCTAAGTCACCAATTTAGTGCTACTTGGTCCCAATGGAACACTAAGTTTCTAACTGTTAAGCAAGATGCTTCCGCGAAAACAGCCACAATCAAACTTGCTTGCGAACCTTCCGCCTTAACAATACCGCCCTCTTGATAAACGACCAATCACGTTCACTTCATTCACAGGTGTAAATTCATGCACCACTCAGGAGAATTCCGAAATGCAACGGTTGGAACAGCCGTTTCCCTACGACTTAAAGGTGATTCTGAAAGCTATAAAAGTTCATCAACTTGTTGATAAAAACTCAATATAATAATAATAATTTATGGCAATTCTATATTCGAACATTTTTTTCTTAAATGTAACTTGACCTTAGGCAAAAGGCTTAATAGACATTACCAGGATTAACAAATTTTTTTAAAGACCCTGATAAAGATGTTCTACTACGATCATAAGAAACTTGATCATTATCTGGAGGATAAGTTGGGCTCACCTCATCGCATACGTGAAGAGCAAGAACCAGAGTCATAAAACCGGTGGATGGATACGTTCCCCTCCTTTTCATCCAAACCTCATGGACGTACTTCATAAAAGCTGGATTGACCACCATCACCTGTTAAAAAGGACTCAGATTTATTGAATGATCGCATTTGTATTCAAAATTGTTAATTACATTCAACCTCATACTTACCAAATCTTTATTAGCTTTTATTTTTGGTGTTACTTTCCTAGATGTCCTGTTCAGAAGAGTTTAACAAAATGTGACATTAGATACACAGGGTCCAGGGATCTGATTTGTTCATTTGTAGACCATTTAATGCAGCCTTAGGACATTTGAGTGCAGGAAGTACATGTAAGACCCGGTTTGTAACAATTGGAATGTGTCAAGGCTTTAACTTTTCCAATTTGTTCACATTTTCTCTTTTAGCAGTTAAGATGGCACTTGACTAAAGTGTGAATCCAATTGAAGTCTGGCTAGAATTTAAGCTTTAGATATAAAGCATACAAGGTGGTTATGACATTCTTTAAGCTGGGCATACACTATAAAATATTTTTAATCTTTGTACTTGGCTACACCTCAAAGTGTAGGACGAAACCGCAGAGTTAAAAAGTTCACAGTTCATGATATCTGTTTTCACACTGTACTGTCCTGATGCTGTAATGTGATCAAATTGCTCACACTTTACAACCGAAAATATGCTGGTCAGACTCGTCTATCGGGAAATAAAGACAGAGAAGAAGAAGAGATCCCTTCTTTGCAAATGTGGATTACACAATGTTTAAGTAAATCAGAGAGCCAAAGTAATGTCAAACATATCATTTTCATCCAGCTGAACCATTCCTGGCCAGGATGTGAGGATCTAATCACTCCTCTTTAGCCTCTGTGTACTGCACAATGCAGGATACACTTTGGGGGCTCAAATTCTCACACGAATGAAAGCTCAGGTAAAAAACAAAGAAAAAAAAATGTAATGTTAAGCCTCCGTTTGAAGTGGAAGGCCTTGAAATTGGTAGAGGAATGAAGATGAGGAGAACCAAAGGGAGTTGGCAGCTGTTGCTAAGAGATGCTAAGATGGAGAGCTTTGTTACTAAGAGCTCCAGTTTCTAACCAAGGCTGTTTAGGGTTAGCATCAAAAGATTTTTTCAAATATTTGTTGTTACAGTAGGAGCCATTCAAAATGACCCTTTACAGGAAAATGGCAGACCAATGGCAGCCCACTTCCCTGCAAATCCCCTCCAACTTCCTGCCACTGAAGTGGTGTCATCTTGCATATTTTTTTTACTCTGACTCCACCCTTTTACTGAATTACAGAGTCTGAGCAGGAGATGAAGCTTCTCTTTAGATCTTAATGTCCACATATCATGACAGAAAGAATATTTTAGCACAAATATTGATTTTGAATAAGGAATTGAAGGTGGACCAGCCAAGGACTGGCCAAGGGCCCATCAAGGATAGTGAGGACATTTTGAATGGCTACTACTGTATATGTGTTACAACAACTGAAAGATGTTTTTATGTCACTTTAAACAAATATTAATCCAAAAAAATCGTAAGATCAATATCTTACGATTTGTTTGGATGCCATGTTAGCCTTTGCTTATGGTGTTAGCTCCAGCTAATTAAGTAAACAGTAGATGACCTAACCACGTCAGCAACCCAGCATGCATTGCACAGGTGAAAAAATAACTTCCATAATATTTATTCGAATTGAATGTTTTGAATTAATCATACAATCTGTTAAAAATGCATTTAGCCTTAGTTTTAATACTTCTATCCCATCAGTAAAATAAAAATAACCAATTTCAGATTTAATCACAACAATAAGTGGAAATCAGAGATGAAAAGAACGTATGCAACAACTAGAGATAAAAACATTTTCTTTAACAACTTTCTTTCTGTTAAAAGTTGAAGTTAAAAAATCACTGCCCGTTTTAAAGTGTTATATTAATTACAGTAGATGTTTATGAGCATTCAACGCATACGCTGGCTACCTTTGGTAAAAAATGCAACAAACGATACATCCTTTTAGAAGAAATTGTGAGTTTTTATGTATCACAAAAGGTAAGTTAATAGGAAGATATAAATTAAGACATACAGTACAGACTAAGTGTTTGGACACATCTTCTCATTTAAATAGCTTTCTCTATTTTCATGACTATGAAAATTGTAGATTCACACTAAAGACTTCCAAACTATGATCTAACACATGTGGAATTATATACTTAACAAAAAAGTTTCAAAAAACTGAAAAAATGTCTTCCAAGTTCTTTAAAGTAGCCACCTTTTTCTTTGATTACTGCTTCGCACAATCTTGGCATTCTCTTGATCAGCTTCAAGAGGAAGTCAACTCAAATGGTCTTCGCTTCACAGGTGTAGCCTGTCTGGTTTAATAAGTGGGATTTCTTTCTTTACAAATAGGGTTGGGACCATCAGTTGTGTTGTGCAGAAGTCAGATGGATACACAGCTGTTAGAATTTGTATCATGGCAAGAAAAAAGCAGCCAAGTAATGAAGGTCAGTCAGTCCGAAAAATTGGCAAAACTTTGAAAGTGTCCCCAAGTGCAGTCGCAAAAACCATCAAATGCTGCAAAGAAACTGGTTCACATGAGGACCGCCCCAGGAAAGGAAGACCAAGAGTCACCTCTGCTTTGGAGAATAAGTTAATCCGAGTCACCAGCCTCAAAAAATTGCAGGTCATTAGCAGCTCAGGTTAGAGACCAGGTCAATGCCACACAGAGTTCTAGCGGTAGACACATCTCTAGAACAAGTGTTAAGAGGAGACTCTGTTAATCAGGCCATCGTGGTAAAATAGCTGCTAGGAAACCACTGCTAAGGGCAGGCAACAAGCAGAAGAGGATGGACTCTAAATGCCTTATTACCACTGTGAAGCATGGAGGAGGAGGTGTGATGGGTTCTTTGTTGGTGACAGTGTTGGGTATTTATTCAAAATTGAAGGCATACTGAACCAGCATGGCTATGACAGCAACTTGCGGCAGCATGCTATTCCATCCGGTTTGCGTTTAGTTGGACCATTTAGTTTTCAACAGGACAATGACCCCAAACACATCTCCAGGCTGTGTAAGGGCTATTTGACCAAGAAGGAGAGTGATAGGGTGCTGCGCCAGATGACCTGGCCTCCAAAATCACCTGACCTGAACCCAATAGAGATGGTTTGGGGTGAGCTGGACTGCAAAGTAAAGGCAAAAGGGCCAACAAGTGGTTAGCATCTCTGGGAACTCCTTCAAGACTGTTGGAAGACCATTTAAGGTGACTACCCCTTAGTAATCAAAGCAAAAGGTGGCTACTTTGAAGAACCTGGAATATAAGACATATTTTCAGTTGTTTCACACTTTCTTGTTAAGTAAATAATTCTGCATGTGTTAATTCATAGTTTTGATGCTTTCATTGTGAATCTACAATTTTCATAGTTATGAAAATAAAGAAAACTCTTTGAATAAGAAGGTGTGTTCAAACTTTTGGTCTGTATTGTATCTAGGGCAACATGTTCAACTTGTTGTGAAACCCGTTAAAATGCAGTTTTTTGAAACCCTTCTGTCTAATAAAGGGAAAAAAACATATTTTCACAATTATTGGTTCACGTTTCCGCTTCCTGTTTAATCACATAGTATTTAAAAGCAAAAAAACAAAAACAAAAAAAAAACAGGAAATGCATGTATTACCCCATATGTTGCAATTGGATGTACTGTTAAAAATATATCTTTAAATGTGGTTGTTTTTTTCTATCGTTCTGTTTTTTTGTGATGTACAGTAACTGAGATGGAAACCAGAACACAAAAAAAATTGTAGCCAAAAAAAAAAAAAAAAAAACTTACTTTACATAAAATCCTGTGGTCAAGGCCTTAGTGGACCACTCCAGATCCTGTATTTTAAAAGCAAACACTACAAGATGAGTTGAATTATCCAAATCTACAGCGCTCTCTGGATACATGACATGATGAGTGGTTCTGGTCCCAACGTCTTTCTCGTAGCCTTTGGTTGGACCAGCGTTCATTCTGAATAGCAAAGTATGATAATTAGTTTGCTGCTTAATGGATTTGAAGTGGATTTTAAAAATGCAGAATTGGACCTGTACCTTATAATGATATCATGATGATCAATCAAAGGTCCGTAACCTGAACCTTTCAAATTTACAGAATTCCCCACGACAGCACAAGTCCTACATTTGCCTGGGCTAGGCTTTCCAAGATCAGGAATGGACGGAAACATCGTAAACAGCTTGGCCACTGTTGCTTTGTAGTAACTGAAGTCGCGTCTTTCATACTGTATGCGCTGTTACACACACCAAAAACATTATTCTGTTAGGGTTTAAAAGAAAAACTTGAAAAAAGGGGAGAAAATGTTTTGTGGTATTAGCTTACCTTCCACCACTGGAAAACATTCTCAGAAAGCTTGGTGTTCACAGACAAAAATGGTTCAATTGAAGGATTGAAACAACTCATGAGCAACTTATCATCTTTGGAAAAACATTTCTTACAACCACATTGGTTGCCCTGTGTGCTCTTAATTAGGACATTTTCGTCCCGTATATTTTTGTCTCGTAAGCTTCCATCCTTTTTTATTTTGGCCTGTATGTTGTCCTGTTCACTTTTGTCCTTAACATTGTTGTCCTTTAAGCTTCCACCCTGTGTTTTTTTGTCCTGTGTATTGTTGTCCTGTACGTTTTTGTCCTTTAAGCTTCCATCCTGTACACTTCTGTCCTTAACATTTTTGTCCTTTAAGCTTTCATCCTGTGTATTTTTGTCCTGTATGTTGTCCTGTACAATTTTATCTTGTAAGTTTTCGTCCTGGACATATCTATTTAGTGGGTTTTCGTCCTTTATACTGTTGGAGAAATGTTGCTCTTTTCGTATTGTAACCTTGTATTGAAACCTTATGTCCTCAAACGAAACCCCTTCTCTGAAATTTAACGTAAAGAAAACACCTGCAGTAGTTATAGCTAAGAGAATTATACATACTTTCGCTTTTAATATCATTTGGACCGCTGATTTTTCAGTATGAATGAGTTTCTGTCTGCAGAAAGTTTGGGGAGAAAAAAAAAGAAGAGCAAAAAATAATGTTACTTTGTTAACATTTGTGAAAATTGTAAAAAAAGGAAATTAATTATTTCAGAATTTATTAACTAACTTACACCTAAATTAGACAATAAGGTTGCTTGCGCATGGACAGGATGAATACAATACAATACAATAACAATCTGTTAATATTGTCCTGAGGTACACATAGCTTCAATAAGTTAAGATAAATTCATTTTTATTAGAATTAAATCATACCTGATTAGAAGGTATATTTCTCTGCTCCAGCTATCCTTTGCTCACAATAGTCATCAGTACAGTAAGTGTATTTGATATTCAGGAAGTAAAAGTAGATACGAAAGGTACTGGTGAAGAGTCATATGTGAAGAGGTGTGGTTTCTCTATGTAAAAAAAAAGTGAGACTAAGCAAGAGAATAGGCTTTGGTTCAGCAATTGAAACTGTTAAATCATTCTCTACAGCCTCAAAAATCGGAACTGCAGCAATTTATTTTTAGGGTTGTAGATGAATGAATGATTATTTTGTGAGGGTACAGTGTAACAATCTTTTTTTAGTGAAGAGTGGAAGATAGAGGGAGATAAGTTGAAGAAAAAAGAGTGATATGTTATAGCCCATTGCACAAAACAAAGTGAAGCTGAGAAGCTGTCATTTCCTGAGGGGGTGATACAATAGTGGTAAAGCTGTCTTTCTCTGTGTCTATGAAGATGCAGGAGGAATTTGTTCCTGTGCCCGTTAACTATTTCCTTCTTCAGTCACTATTTCCGGCTTACCTCAATTTTGCTTTGTAATTGCATAGCAGCCCACAAGAGGATGCTCATCATCAAACCTAAACATAATGTACATAAGTCAAAAGAAACAGTCTTCTCAAGCGGATAAACCTTTTTAAAGTTTTTACCAACTGCAATATGTACTTCCTACTGTATAACAGCTTTACCTCCAAATGTAATTGTTGGTTTAAGTAAGTTTGTGTCCACAAAAATAATTGTATTTAAGATAAACATTGACTGTGTGCCTTAATCTGGAGTGTTTTTTTTTTTTGTTTTTTTTCCAAAAGAAGCTGTACATTATCTATCAGCTTGTTTAAGAGAAAAAAAAGCTATTATATTATCTGTCTGTCTGTCTGTCTGTTTGCAGTGTCTTGAACTACTTTTATATTTATTTGAAGTGGATGTAGGCACAACAATAAGGGGACTTTAGAGGTGAAAAAACATATGCAACAATTTTCTCTTAACAACTTTCTGTCTAAAAGTTGAGTTCATAAATCACTGCACGTTATAATCTGTTAGATTAGGGTTATGGAAGAAATGGAGATGGTAGGGTTCGAAGGAGGGGTCAGAGAGGAGAGACGAAGACCTGACCAAAAAGGTTCTTAAAAGGCTTGAAGGGTTGACTGGACACCAGGGGGCATGGGAGGAACATCCACAAACAAAGACAACTTAGTTAAACAGAGAACTTTGTTAAACAAAAGCTATGTCAGTTCAGTTTGAGCGTAGGAGGCATAGAGAGGTGAGAGACATGGTTAACATGGCAAAGCAGGACTGGCAGCAAAGACACTAAAACAGCCGGAAAAATGCCGTACTCAATCATGCTTAACAATGTTCTCTTCTGCACCAATATAAACCTGCTTAAGACCCTGTAGCAAACTTTTGGCTGAGCTTCAGTGTTGTGATAGCTGTTTTGCAATATGTTATAATTGATAATACAATTAAACTTTAAATCTCACATTGGAGAAATTTAGGCATTTAGGCAAATTTAGACATATTTGTTTGGACCAAACAGACGGAAAACCATTGGGGAGCAGTGGGCTGCCATTGTGCGGCGCCTGGGGAGCAGAGTGGGGTTAAGAGCCGTGCTCAGACACCCAGAATGAAGGTTGTGGGGATCAAACCGGGTACTTCCAACCTTCTCAGAGCACAAGCACACTGCTCTAACGCACCAGGAAAACACTCCCCCAATGTTGAGTTAAGGAGTAATTTCTATTTCATAGTTTTACTATTGATTGTGCCAACTGTATTAAATATTCACTGAGTAAATAAAAAAAAGCCTTTTAGGTTACTTTAGTAAAGAAAAAATGAATAAAATAGGTGAAACAAAACATTTTTAAGGTACAGAGATGTAGAACTGAAATTAACATTAAAGGTATGTTGCTGTGAGATGCTGTCAGACTAATAACCTCCTCACTTGAACTGGACGTAAGCACGATTCAGCTTGCTGTTTTTAGTGAATACAGTATTTAGAGATGGGAGGGATTTTGTGCTGGTAGCAGGACTTTATAATGGTTCCTCCTAGAGGATTGCTTAAACTGGCACTGTGAGGTAAAATAACATAAAACACATAAGCCACCTTGGCTAGATCAGACGGAAATGCGGAGGGCTGCAATTGGAAGTTTCGCACCAGGTTAAAAAAGCCCGGCACTGCCCTGGATCTCCCCTGTACAATTCAGGGCTAAACAGACATGGTTCATAACAGAGTGGGAAGGAACAGAGGCAGCCGAAGCTTGATTATGCAGATGTTCAAGAATTTTTTTTCTTAAGTGTCCTTGCGGCATGATCTGTCTGCTGATGGATCCGCAACATTGAACAGATTCTGTCACGACCTTGAAACCTTGGAACTAATATTCAAAGCAAACAGATTAATGATTTTCAAACAAGCTTAATTTAACAAGCGGCTGGTCATCAGCGGGGCGGATTTCCTTGCGGGAATGAAAACTCAGCCCAGGGGCTAAGAATATCAGGCTGATCACTACTAGGAGCAAAAATTCACTCACCTGGTTATGAGTTCAGTCCAATCACAGGGGAAAGAGGAGAATCCGATAGGAGGATTGTCCAACCCTTGCGGCCAGGGCCACTTCCAGGATGACGAGCTGAAGCCAACCGACGATAAGGAGGAAACAGTGTCCGTGAGGGAGTATCCAGAGCTGAAGTTGAATCAGAACAAGGTTTACAGAGAAGATCAGATAGATCAGATAGCCTAAGAGGTACTGGAGAAGAAACCAATACTAATACATAAGAACAATACAATAACAATATCAAATACTCATAATAAATATTTGAAAGGTGAGTAAAATTAGTAGATTTTATAAGGCTTATTTCATTTTCAGGATAATTCTAATTCATTTGAATTTGTTAGCAGTTTTTTTTTTCAGATTTTGAAAATTATTTCAGCTGTTTCAATTAAATTGAATTTGTATTAAAAATACTTAAACTAAGGATTCAGATAATAATTTGCAATGTTTTGAGGTTGTGTTCCAAATCTTAATAGATTAATTGCCAAAAGATTCTCCAAAGTAAAATCAAAGTGGTCTAAAATG